GGTGCCCAGAACTGGACACAATACTCCAATTGAGGCCTAACCAGCGCAGAGTAGAGTGGAAGAATGACTTCTTGTGTCTCGCTCACAACACACCCAGTGGTATCCGGGTGCTTGATTCAGGTAGCCATGTTTAAAAGTGGGGCCCAGCGTCACTTGGCACTCGCTTTCTGAGTGCTCAGAGCCAATGGTGATGAACGCAGCATAGATGCCCAGGCGGAGTAAATTAGAGACAAGGTGGAGGAGGTGACAGCTTTTATTGGCCCCACTTCTCTCCCTCTCACTAAAAGTGGGGCCAATAAAAGATATCACACAGTCACCTTGTCTCTCTAGTACCCTGTGCCCCCGAAACGGCTACAACTACCCTGCAAACAGGAAGAGTAAATGAGATTTCCAGTCGCCCCTTGGCATGTCCTTGGCTGCCGTTCTGACCAGTCACTGGTGACTCTCCCCCGTGACCCACTGCTGAGTTGCCTGCTGCAGTCTGCAGAGAGGCTCTCACAGAAGGGGTGGGTCATTCGCCTCGGGGGGATGTGCAAAGCTGGACCTTAAGCCACTGTACCATGTGTCCCCCGAACTGTGGCTGGGTTAGATTAAGCCCCTAGCAAGAGGTTCCTGAGATCCTCTATGTCCCTGGGGTGGTGTCGTGCATACTGATGGCCCTCAAAGATATAATCTCTCTCCTCACTGCTCTCGATCCCCATCTCTGGCCGAGGGTTACCACCTTTGAAATGCAAAAACCCCAGCACGCACCTCCCCTGCCAGGCAAGCCCACCTCACCCCCAACCCCCAAACACAAGGCAACTCTGCATGCCCCCTTCAACAGCCACTTGCAGTATTCAGAGCGACAACACATTGAGAATACGATTTTTAACAGCCCCCGCCCCCAGCATGGGATTTGGGGCCCCACTTGCAGGAGCTTTCACCCCCACACTGCCCGTCCCAAGCTCAGCAACCAGTTCTGCTCCCCAGCCGGAGCCCGGCTTCTCCTGCAGCTCCCAGTTTTTCGCCCTCCCGCTTCCAAGCTCTGGGGGCTGCAACGGAGCCCCTTCCCTCCCCCTCTGCCAGGTGTTGCAGGGGGAGGGGGAGGGTCAGGGGTTGTACCATCCAGTCCCCATTGCTCACAGGAGTCAGGGGGACAAGTGGCGGAGCCGCCCTGAGCTGCTGGGGTCTCTGCTCCCCTCCCCTCCTGTGAAAGCAGCGTGGGCTCCTACGAGCAGGGGAGAGAGCTCTGCCTGCTTCCAGCAGCAGTTCTGATTGGCTGCTCTGCCTGGGAGGCGGGGCAATGGGAAAGGCAGCCAATCAGAGAGGGATCTGAAATGCATGTGGGGATTGGAGGTTCTGGCTTCGCCAACCTGGCTTCCAGCCCTGGCCCCACTGGACTCCCCCTCTCCCCTGTAAGGGTGAGGTCTAGGGTTGCCAACTTTCTAATCGCACAAAACCGAACACCCTAGCCCTGCCCCTTCCCCGAGGCCATGCCCCCCTGCCCCGCCCCTTTTCTGAGGTCCTGCCCCCCACTCACTACATTCCCCCTCCCTTGGTGTCTCGCTGTCCCCCACCCTCACTCACTTTCACTGGGCTGGTGCAGGGGGTTGGGATGCGGGAGGGGGTGAGGGCTCTGGCTGGGGGTGGGGCTGGAGATGAGGGGTTTGGGTTGCAGGAGGGGGCTCTGGGTTTGGGGGACTCAGGGCTGGGGACAGGGGGTTGGGGCGCGGGGTTGGGACATGGGCTTACCTCAGACGGCTCCCAGTCAGAGGCGCAGCAGGGCTAAGGCAGGCTGCCTGCCTGTCCTGACTCTGCGCTGCGCCCTGGAAGCAGCCAGACTGTCCAGCTCCTAGTTGGGGGGGCCGCCATTCCTGGCCAATGGGAGTGTGGAGCCGGTGCTCTGGGCGGGGACAGCATGCGGGGCATCACGTCCCCCGTGCATAAGAGCCGGACCTGCTGGCCACTTCCGGGGCACAGCATGTAGCCAGGACAGGTAGGGACTAGCCTGCCTTAGCTCCGCAGCACGGCCGACCAGACTTTTAACGGCCCGGTCGGCGGTGCTGATCGGAGCCTCCAGAGTCCCTTTTCGACTGGGCGTTCCGGTCGAAAACCGGACACCTGGTCACCGTAGTGAGGTCCCTGCAGGTCAGGGATGGGAAGGGCTGGTGGGGGATGGGAAGGGCTGGTGCTGAGGTGCCATGCAGTTCCCTTTGGGGGACAGAAACGGGTCTATGGGGCCTGGTCCAGAGCAGGGGCAAATGGACACTGCTCAGCTGGCATAGAATATCAGGGTCAGAAGGGACCTCAGGAGGTCATCTAGTCCAACCCCCTGCTCAAAGCAGGACTAATCCCCAGACAGATTTTTGCCCTAGATCCCTAAATGGCCCCCTGTCAGTGGCACTTCCTCCATTGACACCCCCTCGGGATCTGTCCCCCGCCACCTCCAGGGCTTGGGTCAGCTGAGCACTGAGCTCCCTGTGAAGGAAGGCACCTGGGGATTTCATCAGTAGCAATTGAGGGAGCCTGATCCCTCAGAGGAGAAAACCTAGCAGGAGAATGGCCTATTCCCCAGGCAGCGCCTCCGGCCGCTCCTGCATTATCCCTGTGCAGACAATGCAGGGCAGAGTGGGAGCTGGGACTTATCGGTGCTTTCCTTGACAAGTGCCCAGAGAGAGGGTCGCACTGGCACCAGGCCGCTTGCATGGGGACCACCACTAATTTGCATTCAGTGGAGTAGATTGCATGTGCAGCCCCATTGCAAAGCCCTCCCCGAATGACCATGTCCTCACTGGTGCTGCGCTCCCTCATGGGGTCCACTAGGACTTCAGAGGCGTATCCCATAGTGGTTTGTGCGGCAGTGACCTCAACCACTCTAAGTCTTTCCCAGTGAACTGTGAGAACCCTGGGCTGTGTTTGTGGGCACACAGGGGGAATGGTGGGAAGGCGCTGAAGGACTATCAGCACTGGCGTGATGTAGCCTGGGTCCACACTGCAAAGTGAAACACAGGCTGTGACCCATGTGCCCAGCTGGGCCAGCTGGCCGAGTGAAAAGCAGCACTTCAACAGGGTCAAAGGGTTGGGGGTGTGGATGGGAAGGGGCGAGGGGAACACCCAAGACCCCGCGTTAACTCGTTAGTGAAGACAGACCCTGGATACTGCTTTGTTCCGGGGGAGCACTGCACATTAGATGCGGAGTCCTCCCGGCTGCCCCTCTGTGTTAACAACAGTGACTGCAGCACAGAAAGCTGGGGGCTGCATCAGACCTACAGGGTGCATTGTGTGTCCCCCCCACTTTAGGCAAACTAGAAAACATCCCTCCTCCAACCCTGAGTCAGGCACCAATAAACAGCCACTCAACAATTCTGCGGTACAGAGGCAACCACCTGTTTGTACCCTGGACAACAATGGGCCATGTGGACATGCAGATAAGCCCACCTGCCCACTCCAGTACACACGCAGGGAGACAGAAACAGGGACCTCCAGCCAGACTGATAAATACAGGGACACCAAAACCCTTTCCTGAATTTCAGCCCTGCCTGCGGGAAAACCCCTTCTGAGATGGGCTGCCTCTCTCTGGGGGGCAAGGGGGGTTCTGGACTGCTGGGGCGGAAGGAGAAGTGATGGGGGAGGCATAGTGATGTGAAGAACTGATGTGGGAGCTGGGGGGAGTGAACTGATGTTGCGGGAGAACTGATGGGACAGAGATTCTGCAGCAGGAGGCCAAAATCACCTCACTCCATACATTCGGGAGAGCGGGCCACACTGATCGTCACCCGCACACGTTGTATTCAGAAATCTAAAGAATGGCCAGAAAACTCAGTGCAACACGAAGCAGGCCGGAGCTGAAGAGGGAGGCTAGGTTTGGGGCAGCACATTTCAATGCAGAGCAGTGAAATCAGAGAGAGTTTGGAGAAGAGAGCTCAGAAAGAGAATGCTCTGAAGAGATCAGAAGATGGAACTCCTGACATTTCTATGGCACCTGAAACAGCCTCAAGCACTTCACAAACTATCTACATCCAGTGCAGCCACCTCTGGGGTAGAACGCTCAGCAAACTGCGCAAAACAGAAAGGGGGGAATTTTGTCTGAGGCAGCCAAGCTCCTGCATTCTTACACAAAATGCCCCAGGATCTTTAATGTCCATGCAGAACAGACCGGACCTTGGTGTTTTAAAGTCTTGTCTGAAAGACCCATGTGTAGCAAACTGCATGGAATTCAGTCTATCTACCTCGGCATGGGCTGAAAAGCCGGCCATGTTTGTTCTGGAGGAGAAAAGGCGGAGAGGAAACATGAAAAGTGACTACAAATAGAGGATATAAAAAAGGGTGTTAGAAAGAGGTTTGAAGCCAATTCTCACTCATTATTGAAGACAGAACAAGACGCTCTGGGCTTATAGAAAGCTGCATCAAGGTGGAATCCTAGGAAAAAATGTTTAAACTCTTAAGGATATTGAAGATGATGGGGCAGGTACCAAGGTTTGTGAAATCGGCATTAATGGAGGCATTGGGATAGAAACGCAGCTCATGTAAATCACAGCAGCTCTACAGAAATCATTGGAACCACCAATAATTTATACCAGCGGAGGACCTGGTGCACTGAAGGCGGAGTCCGAAGATCTAGCATCGGTCTAGCATCAGTCCTGCTGTGATACAGGGATCTGAACTATACTGTTACTGACCCACTAGACTTTCCTGTAATCCAGAGGATTCTATAGTGATTTGATCTCTATGTCCACATCTTGCTTGCTCTCTCTGTTTCAGTACTGGGCATTAGAGGGGTGTGACATTCATTGCCTGAAACTTTTTATCAGCGAAAAACGCAGATTCTGAGACACCAAAACATTTCTCAAATGTCTGATGGCTTCACAGAGTGGTTCATATTGAAAACAAAAAAACTTCTGAAAAAAATGTTTCAATTTTTCACTTCAAAATGACTCGTACAGAAATTTCATTCGGTTTTTTTAAAGTTAAAAAAAAACATATTAAACGCGGAATGTTTAGTGTCGAGTCAAACAAAACATTTTGTTCTACTCAAAAGGATTTTTTTTTACTTTTCTATTTGCCAAAAATGTTCTAAAAATTACTTTTCAGGTCGACTCGAATTTTTTTTAATATATTTTTCAGAATTGACAGCAACCCGAGAAATCAGTTCTTTGAACTAAAGACATGTCCCAACTTACCCAAGTAGTCATCAAAAGAGAATTTGTCATTGTCCCAGATCTGGAGGATAAGCTGGGGTGGGACCTTATTGTCTGTCTTGTCCAAGCTCCAGAAGTGCTCCTGCGGTCAGAGGGGAAAGGAAACAAACCAGAAAAGACGTTGAGCAGAAAGAGGAATACAGTGGCAATCATCATTTCATACATTGTGTGTCCTTAGCTCCCTCAGAGCATGCAGCCATGCTACCACAGACTAATCTCATTAGTTCTCACGTGTTATAAGCACTGGCCTTAGTCAATTGGATGGGAGACATTCAGTGGTGGTGTAGGTGTCTCCTGCTGCCTAGACCGCCCAATGCCAAGGACCCTGAAGGGTGGTAACAGGTACCATACTGCTGAAGGATCTCTCTTTTGGATTCATACATTTTAAGGCCACAAGAAACAATCATAATCATCCAGTCGGACCTCCTGCATAACAGAGGCCAGAGAACCTCACCCTGCAATTCCTGCATCAAGACCACAATTTCTGTTTGGGCTATGGGAGATCTTATTGAAAGATACTGAGTCTTGACTGAATGGCTGCACGTGATGGAGAACCCCACCACATCCCAAATTCCAAATGACCATCCATGTTTAAAATGTATGTCTTATTTCTAGTCTGAATTTGTTTCCCTTCTGCTTCCAGCCATTGGATCTCATTCTGCTAGATTAAAGAGCCACCTACTGTCAGAAATCTCTTCCACATACACATCTGTACAGCCTTTGATCAAGTTACCTTTTAACCTTCTCTTTCATAAACTAAATAGATTAAGTTTCTTCAGCCTCTCACTGGAAGGCATGATTTTCAGATCTCAAATCATTCTTGTGAGTTTCTTCTGAACCCTTCCAATTTTTCATCATCTTTTGAAGTGTGAACCAGAGAACTGGACACAGTATTCCAGTAATGGTCCCACCAGATGAGTCTTGGTCCCTGTAACAGGGCGCCTGCCCTGCACTGGCCCTGAAAGGGTTAAAACCAGCCTATGAAGGCTGAGAGGCAGGCAGTCAAAGGAGTGGCTGCAGGGGAAACAGCCAATCAGGGTCCAGCCGGCCCATATAAAAGGAAGCTGCAGACCAGAGCAAGGGAGTCTGCTGTAGGGAGCCCTAGGGAGAAGACTGGCTTCCTAGGGGGCTACAGAGAGACCAGCACCTGGGGAAGGGCAGGTGCGAGCAGGGACCGGGGGAAGCTAGAGGTGCTAGCAGGGACCAGGGGAAGCTAGGGAGAGCTTTCTGATGGGCTGCCAAGACTTACAGGCTGGAGGCCCTGGGAAGAGGGCAAAGGAGCCAGAGGCAGGAGCAGAAGGAACTGAGGCTGAGGGGAAGTGGCCCAGGGAATAGAGACAGTGAGCTGGAAGGAAGGGGCAGCAGGAAGCTTCTGGTTGCAGGGTCCCGGGGCCCGGAGTAGTGGGCGGGCCTGTCTCCCTCCCCCCAGCCGCTGAAGGAGCAGCCCGGCTGTGGACTGCCAAGCTGCTGCAAGGAGTGGCTGGACTCATGTTGGAGGAGTCC